ATAGGAACTCAATTCTTGTTAGTATCATTTAGCCTATAGCAAAATTGGTTATATTATACGTTCTTTTTCGCTTGAAGTTGCCGTTTCCAAGGACCTATTGATGACTTTAAAACTTATTGTACTTATAACAAACGTTCTCAAGTGATAAATGTGGAAATACATGATTGTTTCCTTTCTTAATATCAGAATATTATAACGAGCTTGATAACACATAAAATCCTTCTGGTATCCAAATCACCTTGTATGGTAATTGACCTTTAACACTTCTGAGGTTATTGGATTCGGTACATAAATTACCTGCTAAGCAAAGCAGAATTTTCCTTTTCTCTCTCAGATCAAGGGGAGGCTTGATATCCTGAGATTTGGCAAATAAGCATGTTGCTCTTATCCAGATCTTTCATGTTGTAATAGGTTTTCATTGTATGCCTTTGCTTTTCCTGATCTCTAAGATTGTCTTTGCAATCAGCATATTGCTTCCAATTCTTTGATCAGTTTAGTCGCCCTTTATCAGGTCACATGACTTCTTTAAGGAGTGGCAGTTTACTGTGAGCTTGTGCGAGGGCAGGTGTGGAATTGCATTAACTTCTTTGTGTTACCCAGAATCTCCTATGAAGCACTTACTCTGTGCCAGGCATTCTGATAGGAAGTAAATACAAAAGTGAGTAAGAGTATTCCCTGCCTTCAAAGAGCTAATAGTTCAAGGTTTCTAGGAACTTCCTGAATTTCTTACGTGGATCAAAAATGGTAGTTCAGAATCCTACCACCAAACCATAAGAATAATTGGCGCTAGTTCCTCCGAATTCATGCATCACCATAGACAGACCCACATAAATGTGTGTCTGCTAGGTCTGTGCTCCTTTTCACTAGCTCTCAGGATCTTCCTGGGACTGGCCTAGTATATGTGTCTTTGGCCTTTGACAAGGAAAGGTCCTTAACACTATCCTATCAGGTATTATTCTAGCTTACATGTGAGGAAATTGAAGCTCAAAGTGGTTATAAAATGATAAACTAATTTGTATATCATTTTACAGTTTTTATCATTTTACAATTAAAATGATATACAAATAACTGTATCATGGTATAGTTTCATTTTATATATATACATATGATCTCATAGCAGCTGCAGGGATCTTTACATAAGTGAGATCCAATCACTTTCTTGGTTAAATCCCTCCAATAGCTTTCCATCACACTCAGAATAAAAATACTCCTTTCTTCTCTGACCTCATTTTTAAATATTTCACTCCCTTACTTACTACACTCCAGATAGTCTTCTTTGGTTCTAAACACAGCAGACCTGTTTCCACCTGAGGTCCTTTTACTGTGCTGTTCTTCTAGATCCATTAAGGGGCTGGCTGCTTCTTCACTCAGTTCTTGGCTCAGATACCACCTTCCACGTGAGCCTCCTCTGACCACTATCTAAAGTACTAACCTTACTCTCCTGTCAAGTTGCTCTGTAGCGTGTTACTCTGTTTTGTTTTCTTCCATCCCTTATTATTACCTAAATTTCTTTTATTTGTTTACTTGTTTATTATTATTCTCCTTCCCTTGACTAAAATGTAAGACAACAAGAACAAAGACTTGTTATACTTCATTGCTATAGATCCACCCCTAGAACTCTGCTTGGCATATAGTAGGTGCTCAGTAAATATTTGTTTAATGAATTAGTTAATACCCTTGATAATGTATAAATGTTTTTGATGGGAAATCCTCAGCGCTTTCTAGCCTCATATTTATATATTCTCCCTAGGCAGTTTCATTTACTCCTGTGGATTTTTCTACCTTTCTCAGTGTTTTCCTCCAGCCCAGATCTTTGTTTCTGAGATGACCAGCTCTGAGCTGTGTTTGACTTTTTTCATTTCCCATACTTGTTGTTTTAACTTTCAGAATCAAAGATACTCTTGACCTTTGAGTGATAACCAAGGGAATCTACATTAGCATTATAAAATACTAACACATTTTAACATTGATATTTAAAAGGAACCTAGAGTTCATATACCACAAATTCATGACTTTAAATGTGGATGAAGAAATTGAAGTCCAAGATAATAACTACTACAAGTGTCACAAGTAGCATGTAGCATAACCCAGAATTTCCAAGGTACATTCTTATTTCCACATTATGGTTATTTGCCTACTGAGACCATAACTGTCCTTTTGTTAATGTGTTCTTTTACATATATTTATTTACTGAGATATAATTCACATAGCATCAAATTCACCTTTTGAAAGTATGAAATTCAGTGGTTTTAATATATTCACAGAATTTTGAAATCATCTCCACAGTCTAATTTTAGAACATGTTCATCACCTCCAAAAGAAACCTCATACTGATTAGCAGTCACTCTCCTTTCCCCCTCCCATCTTAAACTTCCTCTTCTTCTTCAGCCCTAGGAAACCATTAGTGTACTTACTGTCTCTAAGAATTTGCTTATTCTGAACATTTCATATAAATAGAACCATATCATATGTGGCCTTCTGTGTCTGGCTTCTTTCACTTAGCTTAATGGTTTCAAGGTTCATTTATGTTACAGTATTTACCTTTTTGTTTTGTTTAACCAAAGCTCCTTTCTCTAACTGCCTTTAATATCTTTGAGCACAAAATTAAACATTAAATATCCTCCAAGCCAAAGACAAAAAAAGAATAACACAAATATATTACTCTGCTCTGGTTACTCATAAAGGAAGTAGATAGTTTATCATGTACACAGATGTTTTTAGCACCATATTTTAAGGGAAATCATAGATGTAGTTCTTTAATCTGGCCATATGGATGTGTCTTTTGATTATTTAAGGCATTTTTCTTCCTTTCTTATTCCTACAATTCCCTGCTTCCCTTGAGTTGGACAGGCTGAACAGTATTGAAAGGAGTGAGAGGACTACCTGGTGGTATCCTCAAATGACTCTTCTTTTTTTGTGTATAAGAGTGCATTTTTATTTAATCTTTACCAACATGCTATTGGCCACCACCATTAATTCTCAGGATTTCTCTTCCATTTATAATCATAATACTCACTTTAATCTCAAATTTGTGTAATTTTCTTACAACTTTGTTTCTGAAAAAGGTCAGTAACTTTGCCAACCCAAAATACGTTCCAAATAATGCACATTGTCTAGCAAATGTGGGGAGAGAGGGCAGGGAGCTGTACCTCGCTAGAAATGAAAAGAGGAATATGATTGATTGTTGATGTCTATGTACCCATGGGTTTGGCCACATGTATTTTTTTCTTTTTGACAACCCTCAGGTGCAGAGAATTAAATTAACATAATACTCCTAACCTAACAGCAAACTATTATCATCAGTTCATGAAAGGTCTTGTTTTTGTTTTAATTTTCACCTCTCTCTTCTACATGCTTTCCTTATGTGTTTGATATATGTTCTAAGAGGCATGTGTCATTATAGGGTATTTACTGTTATTAGGTGCAAATGAGCAATTTTATAGGTAATATTGTGCCATAAATCTCATTTGGTGTTTGTTTGTTTGTTTTTAATTTGCCACTAAACCTTTAAAGACTATTCATGGTGTTGGATTTACATTGACGTTATTGTTTTAACTGCTGCATAATATTGTATAGTATATATCCACATTTTATTTTTCCATTCCTCTAACAATGGGTATCTGCTACAGTGACATAGAAAGAATTCTCATTCTTACTCTTTAGAGACCTGAGGAAGAATTACTTTGGTGTGTATGTCTAGGAGAGTAGTTGGGGGGCCATAGGACCTAAATACACTATTTTCTTTGTCCAGCCTCTTTAGTGCATAGCTGGCATCCTCCCAGTCCCACCTCCTACTCTAGCCATCATTGTAGAGATCAGGGCTGGGCCAGCATGCAGGCTGCAGCCAGCTAGGTGTCAGTGTACTAGGTAGTACCTCACTTCTTATTTCCTTCTCTGAGGCAGAGATGAGGAAGGAACACTCAGAGAATCTACTCAGCACTCAGGCCTGCACTTGAAATAGGGATAGAGGAGCAAGGGGTTAATGGTCACAAGGCTACTCATGCTTTCTCTTGTACCCCCTTGGGGGTCAGTTCTGAGACACAGTCTGTAAGGCTCTTACCAAGATCCCTGTGAGACTGAGTAGTTGCCAGCACTGGCTATCAATTTCAAAATGCATCCTTGTCTTAGTTTTCCCTTCGTCCCTATTTCAGTCCCCCAGTCCCTCATTCCTGCTTCTTGGTATTATTTCTTGAGTGAACTACCTGTAGACAAGCCTTTGACTCAGGCTCTGCTTTCAGGGACTACCCAGCATACAATCTTACTCCTAAGTGCCACCAGATTGCAATCCAGAGCATCTTCACCCTGATCTGAATAGTTTGGTCAGTCTTCACCTTGTGGGTCAGAGGCTGGGCCATTTCAAATCTTCAGCGTGCTACCTTTCGACAAGAAGTTTTGCTTCTGCTTGGAAGGCATGCAGTTATTCCCTGTGTGAATGTGTCATTTGTGGGTCAGTGACTTTTCTTTTTACCCTTACTGCAGTTATTTTCAAAATATGATTACAATCTACCTGTACTAGTAATTATAAAATACGTCTCCCGCAAACATTCTCTCTACTTTCCTGTGATTTGTGACTTTTGATGCTTGTGATGCATTCGTGGCTTTTAGGTAGTGCATGGGTCATAGATGTGCTATAAGAGAGATTGAAAAGCATTGTTTCTCAATGCTTGGTAATATGGAAACACAATATGATTTATATTTTTTAGTGGAAAGCACTGCAGTCAGTTTACATCCTAGAGTATGCACTTGTTCTATCACATTGTCAGTTGAGTTTACTTAGGGAAAAATGATAATTTCTTTAAGTGGCACATGTCAATGTTAATGCATTTTGGTTTGCGAATGCCAACTCACTGAACTGGGTGCATCATCGTAAAAAAGCACAAATCATGACTCCCTGAAAACAGGAAATCAGATCAACTTCCTTAAGGGAATGCATGTTTCTTCTCATGTGGGAATACTTTTTAAAACCTCATTATCCCCTTCTGCTTTTGTTGTGTAAACAGGTGGTTAATACATACACTCCAGGAAAGAAGATTTGGCTTGAAGGTGTGGTGACCACCTCAGCTGGAGGCACAAACAATCTATCAGATTCCTATGCTGCAGGATTCTTGTGAGTAACACTTGAAATTTCACCCCCAGGGGCTTTCAGGAGGGAAGGACAGTGAATCTCTGATATTGCTGATTATTCTGCCCATCCTAGGGGTGAGGCATGTTTCCTGTTGAAAGTTCATTTCATTCATTTGTCTATGTCTTAAACCATTCAACAATGATCAACGCCTTCTCTAGATATTAAAATGTCAGGCACAGGCATCAGAACAAGGATTATAGTAAGTAACATTAGTAACAGTAATAATTGTAGTAATAACGGCTTTATTGATGGTCTAAAGTTCAAAACACAGTATAAACAACATACATTTTCTAAGCCAATTTCACTATAGTCTTGGGAGATAGGTAACAATAAGGCATGGTTTTTTCCTCCAGAAAAAATATGATTGGTGGAACTGGGATAGGAGATAACTACATTGTAAAGCTGTAGGAGGTAAGTGCCGTAGTAATCATACCTTTAATAATACGGTGCTTACCACTGTCTGAAGTGCTTTATTTATATTTCATAATTTAACAACCAATGACATAGATGCTACTGCTTTTATAACAATTTAGTGAAATAGATGCTGTTATTATCCCATTTATGGATGAGAAAACTGAAAGAGGTGAAGTAACTTATCCAAGATCACTCATTTAGTTAGTGGCACAGCTTGGACTCAAACCTAGGCAGTTTGCTCCAGAGTGCAGCTCCTTTACCACTGCAGTAGACCACCTGCCTTTCTGCCTCACATGGTCCGTCTACAAAAGAAAAATGACAGACATGCAAAGAAATAAAGAATTTCTGTGACTGGGAGTATCAGGAAGGACTTCATGGAAAAAGTGGCATCTGAGTGCCGCATAGTAGGATTACTCTAATTTCTATAGGTGGGAGTTACGGTGATGGCAGAGGGAGCCTTCTAAGCCCAAGAAACATTATGAGCAAAGGCGCAGAGGAGCAGAGAATGGCTAATGTGGCTAAAGCCTTGTTATCTGTGAGGGTGCAATGAGGGCTGAGACTCAGGAAAGGGTTTACCACCAAATTACAGAAGGTCTTGAAAACCCGGTAGAGGAAGTGAGGCCTTGTTCTATATTCACAGTAGGCCATTGAAGATTGTGAAGGAGAGACAGAGAAAGAGAGAGAGAGAGAAAATCTGGAGAATCTGACTTGTGTTTTTTCTGACTTTGGCTTTGTTAATGGTATTCACAAAAGTTGGGAAGGAATGGGAAAATGAATGTGAAGGCTACTACAGTCATCTGGAGAATGACTTAAGCCAGAAGCATAAGGGCCTCTCGTTAGCTTGCCAGTGTCATGTGGCAGGGACAAACCCCTCAGGACCACTAAATAAGTGACTTGTTCCTGCTCCAGTACAGTCCTGTGGCCTTGGATTTTTGACTGAGCAATGTCCTCCTAAGAACTGTAGCTTTGCCCTCAGCTGTGTGTTTTGCTACTAACAGCTGTTCCTAATTATGCAGCTTCGGTTCCCCTGTATAGAGGTAACTTCTTTAATACATTAATGAAGGACAAATGAGGTCAGTCAAGTGGATTGCCTTTACAGATGGAGTTCTGTCAAACGCAGATAAAGAAAATGAGTCAGTGCAATTCATGGTGATACCTTAGGTCTTCCATTTCTGTGTCCTTAGCGTCTTACATTGTGTAGCACAGACATGGGCAGCAAGCATGGTTCAAATGCCTGAAGTGGAGTGAGTCACCTTTGATATAGTGTCATTAAGAATCTTCTTTCAAAAGTACACTCCCAGCCAGGCACAGTGGCTAACACCTGTAATCCCAGAACTTTGGGAGGCCAAGGTGGACAGATCACTTGAGGTCAGGAGTTCGAGCAGCCTGGCCAACATGGTGAAATCCCATTTTTACTAAAAATACAAAAATTAGCTGGGCATTGTGGCATACGCCTGTAGTCCCAGCTACTTGGGAGGCTGAGGCAGGAGAATCGTTTGAATCTGGGAAGCAGAGGTTGCAATGAGCTGAGACTGCATTCCTGCCTGGGCAACAGAGCGAGACCCCATCCTCCACCCCACCCCCCCAAAAAAACCCCACAAAAGTACACTCCCACTCTCCACTGGCTTGATATGAGACCCGTTGAAAGATGAGAAGCCAGGGCGTCAGTGCTGCAGGGGCCCCCTTGGAATCAGCAGAGGAATGACATTTGCTCAGCAGTCACTATAAGATGCTGCTACAGGGCCCAGCAAGCAGCCCAGTTGTACTGAGTGGTTTTGTGAGCATTCTTCCCTTTAGGGAATGATAAGGAATGAGAAATACTGCAGACCTTCATGGAGGAAGTTGAAAAAGAGAACTGCCTTTTCATGAGCATCAGCCAAATAGCCATAGATTCCTACAATCACTTTGCAGAACACAGATGAACGTAGTTGCTTATATTCTGTTTGTAATTCAGATATCCAATGCTTAGTTGACACAGATCAGATGAAAACTAGTTTATTCTGCTCCCGATTTCTCTTACTTCTTTGTCACCCATTTGGTCTCAACTCCACTGGCAGCACCCAGCAATGTGCCCTTTGAGTTCAGTTCACCAAGGGGCATAAATTGCTTCCTGTTAGGGTGGAGGGGTGGGGGAGCAGTAAAGCATTCTAGGAAGCTCTAGGAGGCTAGCAAGAAATTGAAAAGAAGACATTTTTCCAGCCTTTTTGAAATGTTAATATATCACATAACTCTGAGTTCACCAGGACATATACACATGCATGTATGCATAAATCGGGATTCTCTGCTACCAAGTGTTCAAGAGTAGTGTTTCCCAGCTAGGGCTTTGAGATTCTTTGGTGGACCACAAATACTCTTGGCATACTGCTATGTCTCAAGCACCTAATAGTGTCTGGCACATAGTAGATATTCACCTTTAGTGGAGTGGAAAATAATGGCAGGGTAGCATCTTTGGTTAGATATACCAGTCATTTTATCAACTCTCTCTAGCTTAGCATAGAAAGGAACCTGGGGAAACCATTTCTTTCCCTTTCTGAGGGGGCTTGTTATTATAGGAGGAAGATGAAGGTAACTTTTGTATTAACCATTCTATTCCGAAAGCCATGGGTTCTGGTTATAGTTCTACCACAGGACAGCCTTTGACAAGGTATTTCATAGTATGTCTCAGTGGCTAAAGGAAAAGCTAAAGCTGATATCTTGATTTTATAGGATTACCAAATTAATAAAAATTATGAAGGCAAGTAGCTTGCTTAGCCATGTTATGTTCCAAAAGTAATTTCAATTCCTGGGTCACAATGTTCCAATTTGAAGAACAACAACAAAAATGATTCTACTTTATTACAGTTAGTTTTCCTTTTTGATTTAAAACTTTTGTGTTTTGCTTTGCTTTTTGTTTTGTTTTATTTTTGTAACTCTAATTGTCAGTAAATATTTGTTAGTTTTTATGAGAATAAAATATAATTGTAGATGTAAAAAATATTTGAATATAGGAATAATATTTATTCACAATATAAAAATTAGCAATGCCCTTTATCCCAGCAAGGAAAAAAAAATGTAATTCTTCAAGTCACAGATTTGGAGCTCCATATGGTTTCAGATTTGGGAAATCATAAGTATGTGTAATTTTCCCCAGTGTGCTAAATGGTGATTCTCAAAGTTCCGAGAATCTAATTTTATCCAGACAGATTTCAAGTCAACAGAGTATTGAGTACCTAGGGTGTGCCAGGAATGGTGATGGGTGTTTGGAGTACAAGTTCAGACATTGTATCTATGCTTGATGAGCTCATACCTGACAGGGGAAAGGGAGAGAAGTAAGTTAAGTGATTCTTTCTGTGGACTTTCTGAGGGCATGAATAAGAGATCTGGGGAAGTACAGAGGAAGGTACCACTGTTGGCTGGGGCAGCAGAGTTTAGAATAAAAATGACACTCGATTTGGAGATTAATATATGAGAAGAAATTTGCTAGACAAAAAGGGATAGGTTTAAAGAAGAGTGGAAGGGAACCCTAAGCAGAAATTAAAACATGTATGAGGACTTAGGTAAGTGTGAGAAAGCAATGTGTATTTGGGTAGCCAAGAGTAGTTTCATGTGTCTTGGAGCCTGTGGGAAATGGGGTTTAGGGTGAGAGAAGATGGGGAAGAGGTAAATAAAGCTGTACACACATATATTTAGGACAAGTTGTGAAATGCCTTATCTTACATGTAGAGAAGACTGAATCTCTAAGCCACATTTATTCCATGTATTATTACAAGTAGAAGTTTCCCTAAGTTTCAGAAGTAGGAAGAGAAAGAGAACCCCAAATGAATACATGAATGGATGAATGAGCTGAAAGTGTAAATAATGAAGGCACAGTCAGCAGTGTTGGAAGAACCAAGAAGGCAGTATTTTTGAAGGATGACATGCCCTGGAAAATGGGTGTTTGGCATAGTGGGATAGATGATAAGTGTGTGAACAGTGCAGATCCTCCACTGCGAAATATGTGTGATGGTAGCATACTTGAATCCCTGAAGAGTTACTTATAGTGCCAAGGAAAATTATTATTGCATTGACTACTGACAGTGATATATGAAGGTTGCTAATGACTAGACTATATTTGCATAGGTCATAGGAGTATATGAGTTAGAGTTCTGTTAAAGGTAAATATTCAGGGACATGGTATAAGCAGGGGAGTTTGAGGGATGGAATGCACAATGTGTGCTCCTCTGTCTGTAATTGTATGTCTTCTGGCCAGGAGGGATATTAGGCTTACAAATGGCTAGGGTGTTCATTTGTTACTATTTCAGGAATAAAAAGTTAAGTCATTAACAACAAACTATTTAATGATCAAGAGTGGTTCATTTTACTCCCCTAGACCTCTGTTTCTTTTTCTATCAAATGCAGAGTTTGGATTTGATAATCTCTAAAATATATTACAGCTGTGAATTTAATGCTTAAAACAACCCTCTTCAAAGTACTAGGTAAATTTGGTGACTGGAGATTGGTGTATATGTATATATAGTAGCCAATCTCCATAGAGCTTGTTGTATGCCATTTAAAAAATATATTGATGTAGCTCTTTTTCTCTGCCTTTTAGATGGTTGAACACTTTAGGAATGCTGGCCAATCAGGGCATTGATGTCGTTATACGGCACTCATTTTTTGACCATGGATACAATCACCTCGTGGACCAGAATTTTAACCCATTACCAGTAAGTGTTGGATAAAGATTCCCAACTCCTTTTCCATATCATTCAGTTATTTTGATCATGCCTTGTTCCATACTAGGAGAATATTTTTCCTTTTGCTGTTACCAGTTAATTTCATTAATTGAACAGTAACATTCTTGTCTTCGTTCCCTTGATCCATTTCACAGACTTTTGGCTTCACCACACACACACACACACACACACACACACACACATATACACATACACACATGCACACACATCTAGTCACTCACTCACTTTTATATATACACATACATATGTATGTACAGTATGCAATATACATACATTCATTTATACATATTTGTATATTTATTACTATTGTTTTAACAATCCTTGTGCAGTTGAGATTCCCCATCTACTTGTGGCCTGTTTGAACTCTGCTTGAGAGTGAATTTTTCCAGATTGTTTTATTTTAATGCTAATAGGAGACATTAGTTGACATCAAATGCAACATGTTGAAAGCAGATGGGGGAGTGTTAGCCAAGATCAGACATACTAGGAACCCATCTCTTGAGGAGTGGCTGAAGTGCAATTACAGTTAGATGTTGAGCCTTATGTGACAATGAGGGGATTTACCAAGAGCGTCAACTTCTCTAGGAAAGAAAAGGAAAGAGAAGAATAAACTAGAATGGCAAAAGCAGAAATATGGGTTTGTCTAGTGACCTTATTGGCCAATCAGAGAAATTCCACAGACCAGAAAAGCTACGCTTATCAGAAATATTACACGGGTTATCCTTTATCACAGAAGTCATGGTCATGACAAAAGATCAGACTGCTCTCATCAAGTCATAGAATTTCAGAGCTGGGATCCCCCCTCGAGGTGATCCAATTCCACCTCATTTAACAGAGACCTGCTAGCTAGGGGAGGGGCAAGGAAAAAAGGAAAGAAAGGAAAAAGAAGGACAGAGGGAAGTGTTCAGAGCATTGTAGATGCCATTTATGAAAGTGATCTGTACATTGTTAAGTATTATCTGCATCCTTTATAACTAACTTTCCAGGCCGGGGAAGAAACTAACACAAAAGCTCCAAGGCAAGAACAAACCTGGCACATTTGAGGAAATGCAAGAACACTAGGGTGACCGGGGCATGATGAGGAAGGGGGAGAAGTTGGAAATGAGGTAGGCAGGAGTCATATCACCTAGGGCTTTGTATGCTGAAAGGAGTTGACTTGTAAATAGTATGAAAAGCCATTGGAAGGCCTAATTAGGGAAGTAACATGATCTACTTACATTTTAAACAGCTCACCCTGGCATAATTAACGCATCAAATGTTAGTTATAAAGGACACAGATAATACTTAACAATGTACAGATCACTTTCATAAATGGCATCTACAATGCTCTGAACACTTCCCTCTGTCCTTCTTTTTCCTTTCTTTCCTTTTTTCCTTTATTCCTTTCATCACTCATTCAAATTTCATTCACTCTTCTTGATGATGTACTATGTGCTGATTGCTGTTCCTGGCAATGGGCCACTGTGGTGAACCAAAAAGACAAGGTTCCTGAACTCCTGGAGTTTATAATATAGTGAACTGTACTGATAAATGGAAAATAAATAAACATAAATCAGAGAATTGCAATTTGTCATAAAATTGCTCTGAAAATAACATGGTAAGATAAATATGAATATTTATACTTATTTTGCTAAAGAGAAACTAAGGTTCTATGACATTATTGAGTGACTTATCCAAGGTCAGATGAGTAGTAAGAGAGCTGGAACACGTTTTCCAGTTCTAAATTGTGTTTTCTTTTCACTGTACCACACTATTTCTTATGGTAGCCTCTTAGATGTCTTTGCTGTGGTCTGAGGCCAACATTGCCTTAAATGCATGGAAATGAAACCAGGCATGTTGGGAAATTGGAGAGAAGAAAACAGACTAGAAAAACAGTCTTTGGGTGACTAGACAAGCTTCATTTCCAGAGTTGGACAAACTTGGATTCCGTATCAACCCTCTCTGTACCTTTGCATGGCCATGTATAAGTTAAGGATGTCAGTCCTCATGGCTTTGTCTTCCTCAAATGAGAGTTGCTGCCAGTGACTTTATTTAAAAGCATGGCACAAAAGACCTCAGTTGATACACGGTGGAGCAGAGCTCATAGAAATTCATGGGAAGAGAAAACAAGTTCCACTGATTCAGCACAAAGACTCAAATGATCTGGGCAGCTGTATTTCTGGAAACAACAAACTATAATAAAGAAACTGTATGTAAAAGCACTTAAAAAGGTAGCAGGCTTTCTTTTTATCTTTCTTTTCACTAATAAATTCTGCACCTTATAAGTAGAGAACCTGGCAGCTGGGAGAGTGTATCCTAAGTTTCCCCTGGAAGGAATTTACAAGGCTAGACCAGAACACCAATCTGACACACATTGCCAGCAGGCCCCTGGAATGTGTAATGGAGACAGACCTGGGAATCGTACTGGTTGCCACTTCAGAGAGTTGTGAAATTGATAACTAAACACTGCCAATAAAAACTTGTGGATTTTACATTGTGATTAAATCTTCAAGAGAGTTTGTTAAGCACTTAGGGGATTTGTGAGTTGCATTTTGGTTGCCTCCCAAAACTGGTGCTCTTGAATGAATTCAGAAAAAGTGAGCATCCTGGCCTTATGGCTCTTCAACCCATATCCCATTTTACCCCTCCCCCGGCCCAGTCAACTTTAATCCCAGTTTGTGGCATTCTAGCCTAGCTCTGGCAGGACCATTTCAATAGCCCCAATCTAAGGTAAGAGAGAATATGAGGATAGCTCTTTAAAAGAGAAACTTGTCCTCAGAAAAGATCATTTTCAAATATACCCCATGTTCTTCATGGTTATTCCTCCAGAAAAGTGCCACCCACCTCCTGCTGTAACATTTTCCTTCTCCTGGAAAGAGAATATTCAGTTCAGCCGTGCTTCATCACTCGACTCCCACTCCCTTCCCCTGGCCCCCTCAACACTGGGAAAGAGGGTACATGTGAGTCTCCACAGCCGGTCAGTCAGTCACGGGCTCCCTTGGGAGTAGACGATGTTTGTGCAGAAGAGATCTGCACATTTGGTGGACATAGTCCAGACCCCACCAGTCATGGGCATTACTCCTCAGAGAGGGTTTTGGAATTTAGCTTGCTGCTTTTTTTAAGAGCTTGATTTACAGAGCTTTCAGGGAAAGGAATGGTGAATTACTAGTCGACATCTTAACTCCCACACCAGGCTGTCTTCGCACAATTCAATTCAAAAAACATGGACACCTCAGTTGTGTCTGGCTTCATGCTTGGCATTCTAGGGACATGCACATAAATTCATCTATGGAACTAATAATCTGATGTGTGTTTGTGGGACTACAATTTCGTCCCTTATTTGGAATTAAATAAAAAGCTAGATCACATTGGATTGCCTTTTCCACACTGGGCACGGTGGTATGGAAATTTACTGTCAGCATGCTTTTTTGCCTGCTTTCCCTGATGAATAATATGCACTCAACTCGGCCCAATGCACACTTATTGAGTGCCTGCTGTGTACATTGTTCTGGAATATAGTCATTAGTCGTGGATTGGAGTACAACTCACTGGTCTATGGTGAGATTGAACCTGTGATTGCAGTTCCCATAGCAACGTGCTCTGAACCAAGCCATTGCTGTTCAGATATCATTTGGCCATCAGAAGGAAACTCTAACTCTTACTGGTGCCTGCCTAGCACAGTTGATGAGCCTGTCACAAGATCCTAGAATAAGATCCTAGATGCTCCATCCTTGTTTCCCTCCAAAGTGTTAGAGACAATGCCCAGTGTGCACTGCTGAGCCATGGTGTGGACACAGGGCTTAAATCTCTCCCTGTGTAGAGCAAGGACACCCAGTTACAAATGCATGTTCCATTGATGCTGGGTTGATACAAGAAGAACACCACTTGAGACCAGGCACAGTGGCTCACGCCTGTGATCCCAGCACTTTGGGAGGCCCAGGCGGGCAGATCACGAGGTCAGGAGATCGAGACCATCCTGGCTAACACGGTGAAACCCTGTTTCTACTAAAAATACAAAAAAGTAGCCAGGTGTGGTGGCGGGCGCCTGTAGTCCCAGCTACTCGGGAGGCTGAGGCAGGAGAATCACTTGAACCTTGGAGGTGGAGGTTGCAGTGAGCGGAGATTGTGCCACTGCACTCTAGCCTGGGCAATAGAGCAAGACTCTGTCTCAAAAAAAAAAAGAAAAAGAAGAACAGCAGCTAGGAAACAGCAGGAGCCTGGAACTATGATAAGATTCATGAGTTCTAGTCCTAACTCTGCCATTAATTAGATGTGTATCTTGGTATTCCAGTTTTTCCATCACTTAAATTGGGGTAAAAATGCCACCTCTACCTCCAGAAGTTACTGTTACAATCTTTGAGAAAATTAGGTATAAAAATAGGATTGTGATTTGGTATATATACATACATGTAGAAAATTACTGGAAGGGACTACATCTAAATGTTGAAAGTGGTTTTCTTTGGATGGTAAGATTACAGGCAGTTTTTATTTTCTTACATGAATTTTTTGTATGTAAAATTGCTGCAATCAGCATTATTGCTTTTAAGATCTTTAAAAAAGGCCTATTTTTCAAAGAAAAAAGAGTATTTCAAAAGGATTGTGTTTAAATAGCTATGCAAATGTTCCCTTATTATTCCTGTTTCACTTATTCATAAACACTTATTGCATTCATGCTATGTGCTATATACTATGCTAGACACTAGACACACAGTCTCTAGGAGCTTACAGTAGAGATAGGGAGATAGACAAGGTAGCAGGGACTATAACAGAAGCCCTATAGTGTATTAGAAGAGGAGTACAGAAGCCGGATTGAGTGGAGGGAGGCATGGGTCATCAAGGAAGGCTTTCTGGAGGAAACAATGCCTGAGCTGAATCTTTAAAAAGGGCTACTTAGCCATAGGAAGAAGAGTTTGGGGTCTGGGGAGGACCTTCCAAACAGAAGCAGTAGTATATGTAAAGGTACAGAGGCATTAATTTTCCAGTGAGTCATGTTAGATGGATTAGGAAAAATTAAGAAAAATTTTCCCGTTGCTGTCCAGTGACCACACAGGGTGTATGAAAATTAAAGAATTTCAAAGCTACAGACCTGGAGGTGGTAGGGCAGGGGAGGCACAAAACACAGCCAAACCAGCCTGTGACCTGTTTCTTGGTGAAGCCGCCTTTCTCTTTCTTTT